TTTCCAAACCTTTATCCTAACACACAAAAGGTGGTCCTACCGGCTCACCTTGATGGACTATAGAAGGGCCCGTAATAGGCTCATGAACTCCCGAGCCAAGATGAGAAACAGCCAACATGCACTTGTCACCCTAATCTGCAAGAATACATTAGAAAAATCGCACGAAGATTCCGAGAACTATCCAAAAGGTATCCATCGCTTCTTAATTTTTTAATTTATTTTTGAACTTGAAATTCTTGGCATCCCTATAATTTTTTTGGGGAAAATTCCGGCCAGAATTTCTAGAGGAGCATCGTGAACACTACCATAAGGCTTACCATCATACTTAGGATTATTGGATACGGACTTCGTCTCTGCTTTACTCCTCTCCATAGAAAATAGTTTGGAGGGACGAATACCATCATCATCCGAGATGAAAATTTCAAAAAGCACATCATCAGCACACAAAAAAACCGAACCAGGGATAACCATATCAGTACATAAACCAATCTTAATACAACCAAAATGACATGTCAGGCTAAGAAAGGAATCCCAATCTACATCCAAATAGACCCCACATTGTTTTGCGATCCTTTTTATAATGGACAAGTTCCAAGCCGATAAAGGTATACCCCACATTTTGATCCAAACATGATCCATACGTTTGACGAAAGCAAGGTCCAATACCTTCCACTAATCCAGAGACAAAAGACTACCTTGAACTTTGCAAAATCTATTAGACAGCGCCTTGGACACTTCCTCCTTCGAGCGTAATTTGAAGATGACTTTGTTGGAACCAATTATCTTAACATCAGGACGGTAAGACATGGTCCATCCTCTTTGAGCCCAATTAGCCAAGCCAAAAAAATCCTTCATAGGAGGTGAAAAGGAACCTGATACCAAAAAACTCAGTTTTAACATCGAAAAGTTCCAGCTCTTCACGATCAACCACTACCAAAGGCGATGAGAGCTTTGAAGCCTCCCCTTTCACTCCACCATCAGCAGCAATCCCTACCAAAACCTTCCTCCAGTTTATGGTTTGCTCCCACATGTCATATTTGCTAATGTATCTTAAAAAGTTAATGAGAGAGTTCCAATAATTGGAAGGTGATAGACCTCAAAGACTGAGACAAGCGAGAAGTTCATCCACTGTAAATCACCATCGTGTATGTAGAGAGACTCTCCTATTTATATTAATTTTTTTCAAAAAAAATCTGATGTCTTCTTTTGAATCGGTCGAAACACATAATTGCTTCATTTTTCTCTCACCAAATTGAAGAAGACTATGAAGCGAATGAGAGAGCATTACCTCCGACTAAGAAAATTATGGAACTTCGAGATCGTCTCAATCAACGAAACCTTCTCTCTCTGCATGAAAACCTCTCTTCCCCTCTCATTTTAAAAACTATAAATCAACATGTTGGATCTTAATCCATTCTTTCCATTGAGAAATCACATTTTCTTCCATTAAGATATCTTACGATAATAGGAGGGGATAAGTCGTAGGATTTGGATCTCTTGTATTCTTAATTTTATTCTTAGATTGGGCTTACACATTAGACAAATCCTATTGTTCAAAACTAGATTTAAGAGACAGAGATCGCATGTTTCTGTTAAGCATATTGTTAGGTATGTTCATTGTTATTAAATGTTTATTGCTATTATCAGTGTTTTAAATTTTGGTTCGGTGCTTTATTTAGTTTGGTCGAAAAAAAAAGGGAAAATTACAAAAACCTCAAAACCACATTTTCTATGCAATTTAGCCCCAACCTAACTTTTTCTATTACTTTTTACCCCAAAACAAACTTGCTACGCAAATACCCCCAAGGAAAAAGTTAATTTTTTTAGACGTAAATGCCCTTCCCAAACGTAAAAATCATTTTGGGACTTTTAGATCCCAGTAGCACATTGCCGGAGTGCACCATCACATTGCCAGAGTGCATAAGTGCCAGACCGCCCTAACACAAGTACCGGACTGAAAGTGAGTACTGTCGGTTTGCCCTTTACATAGTGCAGGAGCCCTGGAATCCAGTAATATCTACTACCGAACCACCCTTTGTAACTACCGGACCGCACTTTACGCAGTGCCGGATCCCTAGTGCCAGACTGCACTTTACACAGTACTGGAGCCCTACTGTCGGACCGCACTGACACAGTGTCGGAACCCCTATTTTGGTGGGATAGAGGAGAGAGAGGTGTGGGTAAGGTAAAAGTAAGGGAGAGTAGTTTAGGGATTTATTTATTTATTTTTTGGTTTGGGGTATTTGCATAGAAAGTGTATTTTGGGGAGAAAAAGTGAGAGAAAAATGTCGGGTTGGGGTAAGTTGCATAGAAAGTGTAGTCTTGAGGTTTTTTTTATAATTTTTCCTAAAAATAAAACAATTCCGTGTTTCCAGACGAAGACTTCTAAATTTTTTAAAACTTTAATATAAATAAAGTATATACTTATATAAAAATATATCAAAATATTAAATTTTGTAAAATAAACAATTCAAATAACTAAAAAAACAATAATAAAAAAAACAATTATGTAGGCATCCACCTGAGAGGCTGAATCAAACCATTGTTAACAAGTCGATGTTTTAAACACAAAATTTTAAAAAATTCAGAGTGTTTTAGAAAGTGTTTTAAACTACGTTTTTTCAATAGATCGTAAAAAAAACTCGTTTTGTTCATGAAAAAGTTTAAAACTATAAAAACTCAGTTAAATTTATTTTTTCCTTTTTGCCTGTGTACTTTTTCTTTTTTAGATGATGAATACTTTTTTCCTATTTTATGTAACTTCTATTTTCATACCTTTTTTCTAGTTTATGTAACTTCTATTTTTATACCTTTTTCTTTTTTGAAAAATGAATGCCTTTTTCCTGTTTTATTTAACTTCTATTTTCACACTTTTTTCTAGTTTATGTAGCTTTTATTTTCGTACCTTTTTCATATTTCATGTAACTTCTATTTTCATACTTTTTCCCCATTTCGTGTTCTTCTCTCACTCTCTCTTTAAAATGCAATGTCTCTTTGCCCCTCGTCTTCTCTCCCTAAACTCTCTAAATTTAATGTTTTTTTTTTTTGCTATAGTTAGCTTAAAGCATTTAATGATAAATTTATGGTGCATTTTTGAAGTACGTGTTATTTTTTATTTTGAATCTTTCTAGTGAATTTTATATTTAATTTTAAATGATGATTTTGAATATTTTTAGTGAATTTTATATTTAATTTTAGATGATGGGATGAGAGTCATGACTCATAAAACATCTAAATTGATTGAATTAATTATATTAGTTTGGAAGATGGGTTTGGCATATTTTCATTTTTAAAAAAATTCAAATTTTTTGAACTTATCCGTTTTTTTTATTCCGATTGTTTGAGGCAAATCCCATATATTAGCGATATTTTTATGGAGAGTATTTTTGCTTATCCATATTTTTTACTTGATTGTTTCATCCAACTTTTTAAGACTTGCTAACTATGAATCATACCGAAATGGCCCAAAACATGCGCAAATAGATGCAATGTGGCTTCGATATAGGCAAAAAACTGAAGACTTCAGCCTCTGAACAATGCTCTCAGTATTCTTTTCTCCGACTCCTCTATAGTGGTAAGAAGTTTTGTCGATTATTCAACATTTGTGTATGGCTCCATATTTTTCTTGTTTTTTTTATCTTTGGTGGAGGTAGAAATTCTTTTCTTGAACATTGCTAACGGAAAAAACTCTCATTCCCTCTCTCTAAATCATAACACAAAGTGCTCATCTCTCTCTAAATCACACCTCCATGTGCGTCTTCACTTTTCTCTCTCTAAATCATTCTGTTGCAAAAAAAAAACTTCTCCCTAAAAATAGGGCACCTCTCTCCAACTTTATATACATGTTATTCTCTACTCATCCCCTAAAAAAGGACAAGGTGAAAAGTCACCTCTCGAAAAATAGGTCATCTCTCTCTCTCTTTCTCCGTACCATTGCAGGCCATGCGATTTTACTTTCTCTCTCTAAATCACTCCGTTGAAAACACAAAACACATTCTCTCTCTCTCAAAATAGGGCACACCTCTCAAACTTTATATACAAGTTATTCACTCTCTTTCTTTAGAAAGGACGGGCTGAAAAGTCACATGATTCTTTACAGCAACGATAGAGAGGTACCACTGAAGCGCATGCGATCCTATGCAACTACAATACCTCTTTCTTTGACTTGTGAAGCTCTAAATGCTTGGGTTTATTTCCTTAATGAATTCTTGGATTTATTTCTATTTTCCGAACAAACAACTCACTACAAGTCCTTTATAGAGTATGGTTAGCAAGTTGGGGTCTATCAATAAATCTACTCACTATAAAATCGGAAACAAATCGTTTTTATTTTAAAAAATCGGATAAAAAAATTAAGTAAAAAATAGTTTAGCAAAAATAATTTATATAAAAATATCGTTAATATATCGAATTAGGCTCAATCAGATAAATTTATATGATTAGAAATTTTAGATTCTAAAAAATAAAAATTATGTCAAAGTCATCAATTACTAATTCATCAATAAAAACTTTACTAGACTAATATAATTAATTTAGATGGCTCGTGACTCTCATCCAATCTTCCCATATTAAATACATAATTAATTAGTATATACCAAAAAAAGTACCATATAAATCTACTCATTGAATACTTTAAGAAACATCACACCTACTTATTACATACCAAAAATAAATATACCATATAAATTTATTCATTAGATACTTTAATATTAAATACATAATTAATTGGTATATACCAAATAAATGTATGATATAAATCTACCTATTGAATACTTTAAGAAACATCATACCTACTTATTATATACTAAAAACAAATATATTATATAAATTTATTTATTTAAATATTTTAACTATTCTATGGTGATAAATATACTATATAAATTTATTTGTTAAATAATTAAACATCACACTCACTTACTTAGCGGGTACAAAAAAATACACTATTTTTGTTTTTTCGTTACAATGTTTTATAAATTTCTTTAATTGAAAAAAGGCTCGAAAAAATTTGGGCTGCCCATTCGTCTGTTTACGGTTTAGAGAGGGAAAAGCAAGAAGGAAGAGAAGAAACTAGGGCTGGGCTTATAGCCATTAGGGTTTATCGAGAGAAAGGAGCGGGAGGCCATAACTGATTTTTAGAGAGAGAAAAAGAAGATGGGATGCTGATTTGGGATAGTTTAAAGAGGGTTTTTTTCTCTGATTTGCGATGTTGTTTGAGAGAAAGCCCTAACTATACTGATTCGTGAAGAGGCCCTAACGAGCGAGAAAAGGAAGAGGGTTTTTCATTTTCTTGGGGAAACAGCAAGCAGAGGTGAAGGACTAGGTTTGGGGAACTAATCCTATATGTACAATTGCTTGCACATGTAAGTTTACAGTTTACACTATATTGTTTATCTTTGTTATCACATAATCGAAAGCAAAATATTGATTAATTGGTCCTGTAGTTACTCTCTGCTTCTCATTCATCAGTAAAATACTATGTTTTGAGCTCTAATTATGTGTAGATTGGCTGATTTATCTTTAATGCAACTAGTTTTATGAATATTGTGTTGGGGAGTTGCAATTGTTTTCTTTTTTTCTTTAATTTTTGAGGCATTACTTCTTTTCTACCTTAAAAAAGATTTCTACTTAAAATGGAGTATATTTCCACATAAAAGGAAGTATTGTACATTGATCCTCATGGGCGAGGAGCTCTGTTTGCCTCATTTTGATGTTGTTTCATTTGAATACTTGTAACTGGTTTTCTTCATGGGCTGAAATCACTTGAAAATTATCTAAGGCTAATTTCCATTTTTGCAGTTGCACTCTAATTAAGGAGATCATTCTATACATAATGAACATTATTATGGGCAATTTCCAGCTTTCCCAGGTGAAATTACCATCACAAAATTTTTCAGCCTACTAATTTTCACCTGCATCCCAAAATCTACAACCCAAAATCTAGGAACTTTAGCAGCATTGGTTTTTCGCAAGGATACTTGGTGATTCCTAGAGAGAGTTGTGAAAGTTATCAAACGCTACCTTACCGTGAAAGTTAAAGTTATCAAATGCTACCTTAAAATGAGAGAGATTCCCACTTTTCCTACAACAGAAAGGAGGGAAAGAGCCCCTTCAAGGAAGCAACTTTTTATAACGCTCGTCCTTTGTCTATCTAACTTTTCTCACTCAAAACCCTGGCAACTCAACCAACCATTGCCACGGGCCCCAACGAGATTAACAAAACCTCCATTTTCACAGAGCTTATATTCACATAGCTTATTTATTTATTATTTATGTTTTATTTTTCTAGCTTATCACATAAATTTTGATGTGGGCTTTTTGTTTATTGAGAAGAACTATTTGGGGCTTGAAAATTTGATTGATTTGATTCTGTGTCTATTATGTAAATTTTTTGGGCTTTGGGTGTTTGATTAATTGATAATTTTTGCTACTGTTGTTGATGTTGTTCTTGTGGTATGTCATAGAATTAATTTTCATTTGATTTTATGAGCTAATATAATCTCAGTATTCTTTTATTTATTTATTTATTTTTTATTGATGAAATCTTATTTAAGAGGTTGTAGTATGCAGTAGGATTTGATATCTATAACATTGGGTTCTATTTTATTGTTGTTTACTTATATAATTTATGGGGTTCTCTGTTATTTGGTTTTTGTACTGATTGGGTTGAAATTTATGGAGGAATATCCTTTGCAGAATGATATATTGTTGGGTTTTTTGGTTACTTTTGTCGAGGTCTGGGTTTTAATTTTGCTATGCTGTTGTTGAATTGGCATTATCTCTCACTGGGTAATAGAAAGCCATGAAATTGAAAATTTTAAATGTCTTTACTTCATTGTGTATGTGACAAGATCATTCTAAATTGAATTGAGATGTTTGTCATATAATTAAGTTTGGAAGTTGTAAGTTTGAACTATTTTACCTGTTTTGGTTTGTTTTAGTTTAGTTTCGACTTTAAATGTTGTGGCATGTTGATTTCTCAAGTTCTGGTTTTGAAATTTGCTCTTTATTAATACATATTATGTGGTGCACACAATGCTGTGTTATGCTTGTGTACCAAGCTTTTCATTTGATGCATTATGTGTGAACACATGAATGATATGCATGTTGATGTCTGAAGCATTCAATTTGTTGTTATACCCTCACATATACATATTGGTCTAATCAGGGTGAGGGACCTTGTTTAAAAAAAAATAACGGTGAGGACCTTAAACTTTCCCTTAACCTGTCCCAATACCGGGTAAATTGGATTTCGGAATTTGATGATGGATTGGATTGAAACAACAGAATTTTGGCTTGGATTTTGGAAAATTGTTATAGATTTGCAGAGAAATGGCTAACGTAGTGTTTGCGGAACACAATAAATGGATCATCTTTCTTTTTATGCACAATAAATGGATCATCTTTCTTTTTATGCACAATAAATGGATCATCTTTCTTTTTATGCGGAACACAATAAATGGATCATCTTTCTTTTTATTGCCATGGCTTTGATCTCTTTTCGAGTTTTAAATGGTGACCCAAGAGCGTACCTTGTAGGAACTATTTGTGGCATTGAAGTGGTAGAGGATGGTGCAATTCTAGCTATAAATTTTGTGCTTCGAATGGAGAACTTGAGCATCATGATTAAATTTTGATATCATTTTGTAGTTATCTTTATGGCATACTTGTGTGGTTGAAAATTGATTTTTTATTAAGGCAATTTCTTAAGTTATGAGGTTAAATTTCAATCTTAACCATACATCGTAAGTAATGCATTAGATATGTAATAGCAAGAAACTCTTATTAAAACATATGCATTATACGCATCAAATCAAGGAAATACATATTGAACAGTTAAAACAGGTTGTCTCGTGCTTTCCTAGCGTCAAACAAGCTTTTCCCAATACCAATGAACAAAAAGTCCGCCGCCCGTAGGCCTAGGCGAACCTTTTTAAAAAACGCTTAGGTGTGGTCAAGGCAAACAATATTAGGCTGAAAAAGCTAGGCGCCCAAGGCTCCCCACTTAGGTGGTGTAAAAGGCTGGGGCTTAGGCGTCGCCTTGAAAATATGATAATTAATTCGTAGTAATAAATTTATTAATTCGTAATTATTATTTTATTAGTAAATATTAATTATTAATTTATCAAAAATAGTTTTTACATGCAATAGTAATTATTAATTTATTAGTAAACCAAAAGTGGTATTAATTTGTAATTATTAGTTTAAATATTTTTTGCATGTAATAATAATTGTTAATTTATTGATAAACCAAAAAAATAGTATTTAATTTGTGATTCTTAATTTATTGAAAATGTTGTTTGAATGTAACAGTAATTATTAATTTATTGATGAGCCAAAAGATAATATTGATTCGTAATTATTAACTTCTTGAAAATGTTGATTGCATGTAACAATAATTATTAATTTATAAGTAAACCACAAGATAGTATTAATTTGTAATTATTAGTTTATTGAAAGTACTTTTTGCATGAAACAATAATTATTAATTTATTGGTAAACCAAAAAATATTATTAATTCATAATTATTAAGTTATCAAAAATGGTGTTTGCATGTGACTGCAATTACTAACTTATTGATAAACTTAAAGATAGTATTAATTCATAATTATTAATTTATCGAAAATGTAATTATTAATTTATCGAAAATGTTGTTTACATTTAACAATAATTATCAATTTATTGGTAAACCAAAACATAATATTAATTCAGAATTATAAGTTTATCGAAAATGTTTTTTGCATGTGATGATAATTACTAATTTATTAGTAAACTAAAAAAATAGTATTAATCGGTAATCATTATTATATAGTATATACCAAGGTTTTAAAAATCGGCAAGTCGCAACGGACTCGCCCCAGTCGACGCGGGAATTGGTCACCCCATGTCGATTCTTTTGTAAAACCGGGAATGCCCAATCCTAGAGGAGAAAACCTTGAATCGCCCTATCCTAGAGGAGAACCGGCGATTTTGAACAGTGAATCGTTCATATGATGTCATAAATCATGATTCCAAACGACTTGTGACGTCACAAGGTCGACGAGTCACTAACTGAGGATATTTTGGTAATTTCGTTTAAAAGGTAGGACTGTAGGTGTACCTCTTCTCTCAATCGCGCTAACGTTGATGCTATTGTACAGGTATTTATAGCGCTTAAACTTTCTTTGAATCTTTGATGTGGGATTTTTTGCCGAGTGATATAATGTTGAAAAATTATTCAATATAAACAATTATGGTAGAAAAGTGTTCAACAACGCGTGATGGGCTGCAGTGGTTATCAACTAGGTTTCTTCTTGGGACATCCCAAGCTCGAATCCGAGCTTTGGGGATGCTATTGTGGAATTTTATTTTTGTCTCGAAAAAAAAAGAAAAAAATATCATAAAATAAAGACAAATAAAAGAAGCTAGGTTTTTACTTTTGTCTTAAAAAAAAATAGAAAAAAGAAAATAATATCATGAAAAAAAAGACAAATAAAAAGAAGATAGGTTTTTACTTTTGTCTTCAAAAAAAAATAAAAATAAAAAGAAGAAAATAATATCATAAAAAAAAAGAAATAATAAAAAAGTAATACAACAAGAATTTCTTGCTAAAAAACAAAAAAGACAATACATCTTCTTTTTTTCTTGTAAAAAAAAAAAGTAATAAAACAAGTATTTCTTGTTAGAAAAAACGAAATAAAAGGTATTGGCAGGATCATTTTCTTATTTTCTTCTAAAAAAATAAAAAGTAATACAACAAGCAAAAAAAAAAGGTAACGTAACATCTTCTTTTCTTTCTTGTCAAAAAAAAAAAAAAAAGGTAATACAAGACATATCATATTTTCTCGTCAAAAAAAAAAGAAAAGGTAATACAACAAGTATTTCTTATCAATAAAAGGTATTTCGTAATACAATAACTATTTCTTAATACAAACTAGGAATAGCTGATCTAATTATAATTTTTATTTTTATAATATGGAAATCTTTAACATAAATTTAGGAATATTAATTTTAAGATAGGATTCATACAAGGTTGAAATATCTCTCCGTCTCTAACAATCTCTTCCACTAAATTTATTCTAGAAATCTAAAAAATTATATTTTTGAAAAATTGAAGTATTATTTCGAAAATTGATGCGCATTCTAATAATTTTTATATTGATATCCAAATATTTTATTATTTATTTATTTATTTGCATTATAAATCTTGTAATGTACTATTTTTTTTACAGTTGTTAATAATACATTTTAAATTAAATGATATTATAAGGTATTTTCAATTTGTTATTATTTATATAATATAATGTAAACCAACAATTTTCATTTCAATATATAATATTGCAGTTAGTTAGGTTGTAATAATTTTGGATTATAGTTAGTTAGGTTGTATTAAATTGTTTTTTTTTTAGCGGGGTTTTCAGCCAATTCGAGATTTTAGTGGCCAATTTTTTATCGATTTAATCCATTATTTATTGTAGTCTATGTATGATTATATACTTTATCCATGATAAGTCTATGTTTTTTGTTTTATGTGATGCAAATTTAATGGTTAACATAAGTTCATAAAGGGAAAGAACATCTCAATATTCACAAATTGATAAAAAGAAATGAAAGTTAATAATGTAGTACCTGTATTTTTTATTGGATTCTTAAAAAGCAACATTTATAATAAATTTTAATAATTTTTTTGGAGTTTTTTTAAGGCTTAATCGGATCGATTCGGCCGATTCCCGATCCGAATCGCCGATTCACCGATCCGGATGGGTTTTTGGGGTGCCCAATCCAGGCACCGATCCGTTTTTTAAACCACTGGTATATACAATAAAATAGGCGAAAGTAGCAACACTACTTTTTATCAAATAGGGTTCCCAGCTTTCTAGCTGCTAATTTTCACTTTCCTCAGCAGCAGGGGAGAATCCTAGAGAAAAAGAGTTATCAAACGCACTCTAATGGATGAGAGGGTGGATGGTTCCTTTTAAAGCCAAAATATATTAAAAGTTTTATGGGATTGGACTCTTTTTTCCTTTGCTACCCCATCTAATATTAATTCTAGGATTCTAAATTTTGGGGATGCGAACTCTTCAATCATGGATTAACCTCAATAAGAAAGTTTTCTAATTTGATCCTCTATGCACTTAAAAAAAATAATATCTCAAGAGTAAATAGAGATTGACTAATTCTTAGATGGTGAGATCAAGTGTTAGATAGATTAAATTTTAAAATTTCCCTTTTGATAATAATCATCTTTCGATTCTTAGATAGTTCCCAAAATTTTAGATTGGAAAAAGCCTCTTAGGTAGATCTTCAAACTGACGGACTAAATGCACACCATGCTTCTAAGATAGCATAAAACATGACTTCTTGTTAAATATGCATCATTTAAATACGTGGTACGGGTCTTCTCACTCTCTCTATATATATGGAAGCCCATGCTCCCCCTTGTCTCTCCTTTGTTGCTAACATATATTGTTTTTCTCTCTCTTTCTCTCTTCAAACACTAACCCCCATTTTTTTTGTCACAAGCTATTATTCTCTTTTACTCTCTAAGGCCCTAAATCCATTTTTGTTTCTCTCTGTTTCCCCTTTCATTTTCTTCTTGTTAGGTTTATCATTTTGGTGAATAGGTGGACTTGATATTTACTGATATTTATCAATAAATATGATATTTACTGATATTTATCAATAACTATAGTCCTTATGGAATTTTTATCAGAAAAAATTGATATTTTCACTATATTTTTTGGCTGTATCGGACATTACTGTGATGATAATGTTATAGAACAGGTTTTGTTGCTTTTTGATACAGTAGTCTAGTTTTCGCTGCATTCTACTAATTAATACTTATAGGGAAAGAAATGAATTTTCTGATATTCAGAAGGAGTATGAGAAATTGATTAATACTGGTATTTCTTAGAACACGATCAATCTAATATTTAGTAAAGCATAATTTTAATCAATTTACTAATATTTATTATGAATATGGAAATCTATTGACATTTACTCTTATTTATTAGCAATAATGCTATTCATTAATAAGCATCAGTAAAAATGATATTTTTAGTAATACAACAACACAGTAAAGCAATAAAATATTCTCTTGCAAAATTGATATTGGTTTGGAATTATATTATTTACTAATGTATGAGTAAATCAGTAAAGTTGATACTTAGTAATATTGTTATTCACTGGTCTTTTAATAGTAAATTCAATGATATTATCAGTAAATTCTAGAAGTAGCTCACATTATCAAATAAATTTATTATTATTTTATTTACTAATGTATGAGTAAATCAGTAAACTTGATACTTAGTAATATTGTTATTCACTGGTCTTTTAATAGTAAATTTGAAGCTATTTGTTAGTAACGTTACTCATAATTCGCTTAATATGAGATTTATGGATACGTAATTTATACAGTGGGAGGTGCTGATCAGTTCCCTTTGACCATCGTGTGTTTATGTAATACATATTTAGTTAATGCATAAAATTGGGTTGTGTTTGTTTGAATGTTTGAATGTTGCTTTTTGTTTTGGTTGTACTTCTTTTGAGATAATTTGTTTTTGATACAAGGAAGTCACAGTTATTATAAAAGTTGGACCTGATATCAGGTTGTTGAGGATGTGTCGTTGATTAGACACGAAGTCCAAAATAAAATTTCTCAAGTATTGTGATACACTTTAATGTATTGAGTTTTACATCCAATGAATAAAAATGATTGCGACCTCCTTGTACCTAAAGTCAGTATTCTTAATATGCAACCTCTTTACCTTATTATTAAACTTCGCTTTAGTTTACTCTTCTATTATTTTTGGTACTTATTATCTTTTCCTTTATTTGTTTACTTGCAGTTGGACCATAGTGTGGTTGGCAGCATAATAATTGATAAAAGACAAGTATGATGGATGGATGGTGTTGGAGAGATGTGTGGCCATTCAAGACATGAAAGGATCCAGAGGTAGGTTTCCCTCAGTCTCCAATGTTGTCCATCCATCAAGTCAATGGTGTTAGGCTGGTATCTACTAAGGGTGGCAATGGTTCGGGTGGCTTGGTCCAGCCCAGCCCAGCCCCACACATACTTTTTTCATATTTATTTATTATTATTATTTTTTTTACTTTGTTAGCCTTTAATTTTACTCTATGTGGCTCGGCCTGGATAGGGCCAAGGCCGGCCTTCGTGGAAATAAGGCCGAGTTGGGGCCGGGGTTGACCCGGCCTGGTGCCAGCCCTTGTCCCTACCGTGTTAGGTACATTTGGATCTACTTTTTCATTCCTCTAAGACTAATATATGTTTTTTATATTATAAAATGGAACCTTAATATAAGGCTGTAGTATTTATAGGTCATATTATATTTACTTGTATTAATTATATACTTGATTTGTAGGGTTTACACTACGGCATTGGCGGTATTGGAAAATAGGTATGTTGTAAATACTCTCAATCAATGCAAATTTGACAATATTTTTGTTAACATGAAAATAGTATCTCATCACTCAACTGTATAATATTATATTATAAAGATGTGTAAAATATAAACTTAATTCGGAAATATATATATAGAATTCTAGAAAAATTGATAGGAAGATATATGGATATGGAAAATCCAGTAGAGATTGATCGATTAAAGAGATATATGAGAGTGACTCGTTTATGAAAAGATTTTAGTGATGCCATATAGTTTTACTAAGAGGGAGCAACTCTCAAATACCAAGAATAGACGTAGGGTCTCATATATGCTTTGAGAGGAAAGTCTTGGCATTGACAAATTTTTTAATAGTCTAAAGTAGATAAGTACATGTCTTTACTTTAAAATTCATTGGCACCTAATCTGATACAGATATTCTTTAGTATATAAAATTCTATTTCAAAAATAGAATAACGAAATCTTAAAAGAGAATAATGATTCACAAGAGTTAGGGAAGGGAGTTCTTCACCTCTGTCTTTAAGGTGACTATTTCTCAAGTTATACTCTCCCTAATATACTGTCTGTCTTATGTGCATTTTTTCTTGTGTTTTGTGCTTAGGATTGCAAGTTTTTTTGGGATGCTAATATGAAATACTTTTTGGGATTTATTTTAGTGACTAGGCTACGGTTATTAATTCGAACTTAATTTGATATTAATTTGTTAAATTTGTATCATTTTGATATTAATTTAAATCAGTTTGATATCAATTTGTATCGATTTGATATGAATTTGTATCATTTTGCATCCAGTGTTTCTAAAAAAACTAGGTGGCGCCTAGGCAGCCGGGGGGTTCCAGGCCACCCAGCACCTAGGCAGCTGCTCAGAACCTGGGCAACCCAGTAGAAAGAAAAATGTCTAGTATATCACATATTCATATCCAATTATCCATAGTCCACACTCCACACATAGTTAAAACTTAAAATTTACAAACCAATGTTTTCAAACCAAATCAGTGACCACAAATCCGCAATACACAACCAAGATGAGGAAAATAAAGATGAAAGAAATATAGTATATAGAGTTGAAGGGGGTCCTTATTTTTTGTGCCATATTTTTTATATAAGGGGGTCTTTTGTATCTCTCTTGGCAAACTTGTCCCCTTCAAGTATCGATTATACTTGATATAAACTAGATCATTGAGCCTCTTTGATTCATGCATATTCCTTTTTTTTGGATGAATTCAATAAAATCAAATGAATTTGATTAATATAAATAATTAAAAATGCATAATAGTAATACATGCAATAGACTTCCAAAGTACTAAATTACTTGTACTGTAATACAAATTACCATCTCAAAAGTACTCAAATTCTGCTCACAGCCAGACGAGATAGTGGTTAGGCTTAAGATCCCAATGACCAACTTTTGTAAATTTGGAGCACTAAACGCTTGTTGGCTCCACCAAGTGGCTGCAGTTACAAATTTATAAATGTTAATGATACATGAAATATCAAGAGTTAAGACAAACTACATATGTCATGAAATGAAATTTGAACTTGAGGAACTTAAGAATATTGTTACCTGAGGGTGATAGTGTGGCTATAAATGGAATTCGTAACTAACTTTGCCTTCTTCACTTCACCTGAAATTTCGCTCAAACCCCCAAGAGCCTCAAGCATGAAGTCTATATAATGAGGTCTATATAATGTGCTGCGCATGGTGTCCAAAAGATTCTAGAGTACGCTATGCCCAACAGATTAGCAGCAACAACATTAGGAGCAGCATTGTTTCTGACAACCTGTATAGCATGTTGTTCCCCAACCTCCTTGATTCCTTTCTCCATAATTTGGAATATGTAATGGGCATCATGGCTATAATCAAAGGCATCAATTGACCTAAAAACAGTCCCCAAAGGACAATTCACAAGCAAATTCACTTGGCTTCTTCTCTTCCTATCACTCCAAGTATCGGTCATAAGAGAGACTCCATACCGATCCCATACATCCTTCTGAACATCAACAATAATCTCCTTCGTGATACTCACTTCTTTTTTAAAAAAAGACTCTGAAAGCCCATATGGGTTGGGGGTTTCATTCGATGCCCAAATTGGCCAATTGCATCTACCAAGGTGTAGAAGCTGCTTAGGCGAGCAGTATTGAAAGGAATCATTGCCTCATAAAACCATCTAGCAATATATTGCGCAACTCTATCTTTCTCATCCTTCTTGAGTCTATTTTCAATCGTGGTTTACTTCTTTGTTTTCTCTCCTACAAAAAAAAAATCCATAAGCCCTCTAACCCTAGGCCTCTTAAGCCCCTCATTCCCAGAAGCAACTACAACTCCCTTAAGCTGGGATTGTTGTATGTCTTGACACCCCTCCCCATCCTCATCACTATCATCATCATAGTAATTAACCCTAACTCCAGACCTCATCTCTGATATGGATGTCTGTCTCTATCTTTTTTCATATTTACATGACTCATAAACTTTTTATTTCCTCTTTAATAGCATTACGAGTTCTTTTACATGGGGCAACATTCCCCTGATACTAGCATTTTATTCGCAAAAACCCAAAAAAAAGCCCTTTCTCTCTATGGCACTCTCTGAGAACAGCCTCTCTTTCCTTACACACACACTCTCTCTCTCTCTGTCTCTAATTACAAAACCTTAGCAACATGACTAATCTGGGGCATTCTCTTGCTAGAGTTCTCTCTCTCTAAAGCAAAAACCCAAGCATGCTCTCTCCATTGAGTTTCTCAAAGAAAATCCAAAATCTCTTTTTCTTGAGTCCAGAATATCAACCAAACCAAACCCATAAAACATCTAGACCAATCAAACCTTCATGGCCCCAAAAATTCGGGGAGCATAAAGAAGCAAGAGAGAAACATAAGTGGTAGTGAGAGAAAGAAAACAGTGTGTGATAGTTTTCTTGGTAAGAAGCTTGTTCTTAGCTTCGGGCTTTCATCCCTTTATCCCTCATAAATTTGGTTCATTTCGTGTTATCCAACGAACACAAGATGTGTTTCCTTGAAAACTTGGAAAAGCATGGGAAGAGAGAGAGAGCAAAATGGATGGTAAGAGAAAGAGCAAATAAAAATAGTAGCAATGGGTAGAGAGGAAAAATATTATAAAAAGATGGCAGCTTGGAAGTGAGACCGGTTAGGATGGAGTAACCGTGAGATGGAACTTTTCCCCGACGAGGTATTTAGTTACATTATATATAGTTTATTTCTAGTCATCCGTGCAAATGCAACAGCCCTAAAGCAGGAGACATAAATTTGCTATAACAAGAAGATTTTCCCTTTAAAAAAATGGAGATTATTTTGGGATAAGAATCTTTTGTTTTTCACCTTGTACGGAAACATGGGATGAGCAAATAGGGAGCTTACTAATTGAAAGTATGGGAAGATCAAATAGGAAGCTTATAGATTGAAAGAGATGCCGGAAGAATTAATTGAAAATTTTTTATTTCCTAAATAGATTCATATCCAGTCCCATATGTTTACATTACATTGCATTTTTTGCTCTTTTCTCCATCTATTACTCTCTCTATAACCTCATGCATTCTATAAATATTGCTCCTTTATTTATTTCTTACTTTTTGTTATTTATTTTGTATGTAACAACTAGAGAATGCAAAATTTAAGAAACATAAGCAGAAACCTGTTTATGATTTCAAGTTGCTATCCGATCTCCTAAGTTTTATTCGGAACACATTTGTCCATTTTAGTGATCTACGACCCAAAATCAAGGTAATGGGTACATTTAGTTCTAGATAATTTATTATCCTATTAATATTTAGCCCATTTGTATATTTAAGGAAATGAAAACTACCTAGTTTCTCATATGTTATATTTAATGTACCTTGCAGTAATTCTTTTCCAATTGTTGCATTGAAATTTCCAAACCATTTGAAGATATATTTCTAGAAAAATGCATAGATTTGCCCATCAGCAAAGATACCATACAGAGGACCAGTTTTAAGATATTTTTTGGCAAGGTCATGACTTAGGTATGTATGGTACGTGGCAGTTCGGGATGGTAGGTTGCAACTCTTTTAGTTATGGGCTCTTTTAGTTATTGGCCATGGTAAGGCTACGTCACTTCTGTTCGTAGTTGTAGGCTGGTTGGTTTGATATTTTGTTCACTTTCATGTACTTGAAGGCTTCACCCTCCATTTTCTTTTTTAATTTTGTTTATCTACTTCATGACCACCAGGCTTATAGGTTGCATTATCTAAGAACAGTGTTCTTTCATATAGAGTGGCTTGATTCTATTTGGTTTATGTACCACTTTCTTTTGATAGTTCTCTTGTGATTATGTTATAACTGATTCGCGCGGTTTTTATAGCTAGTTAGGTCCATAGTTGTGTAAGCCCAAATGAATGCCTAAGCTGATTGCCCTGCCTTTGATCCATGTGAGTGTATTGGGGTGGCGAACATGTGGGTTTCCTTGCTCTGATCATGAAAGTACATAAAATCTATGGCGTGCACATGCATCTACACGAACATATGCCTGCATGCTGAATTATATGCCATGAGCTCATGAACAAACACAAACATAATGGCATGCACATGCATCAACATGAACACGTGCATGCATTAGAGTTATGAGCTTAGGATTGTGAGTTTTTTTGGGATGCTAATACTGAAACGTTTTTTAGGATTTGTTTTAATGTTGAAGCTATGTGTATTTATTCAAACTCAATTTGTATAAATTTGATGTCAATTTGTATAAATTTGATATAACTTTGTTTTAATTTGTATCAATTTAATATTAATTTGTATCAGTTGTTTCGATTTGTATTGATTTTTACCTTTTCTGGGGTTAAAGCTATAACCTCTTCTAATTTATGGTTAGATCTTCACTTGTATAAAAAAACTTCTCTCTCTCTCTCT